AAGCACAGGGAACCCGCAGGGATGGCTGCAGGGAGGATCCAGGATTGGGGAATCAGTGGTGGGATCTGTCCTGTCACAGCTGCCCAGGAACCCAGAACTTGTTCAATAACTGAACAAATCTAAGAATGAACTTAGAGTTGTTAAAAATATAAAGTACCACCAGTAACTCACATTACAGTCAGCACCACGCTGGAAAACAGCCAAAGTTTTCCTTATCTTACCCCATACACAGGGATGTAAGGATAAGGAAAATTGGTAAATTCAAGRAAACTGTACCTACAAGCAATCAGCCTTTTCCAAAGCACAAAATATTGGGAAAAAAAAGGGAGAAAATGAGGTCATGATTCAATTAGGCYTTAAAAAATATCTAATAAAGCTGAAATAATAAGCAATTGTGCATTACAAGATAAAGTCKGGGTGTTACAGGTTGGTTGGAGAGGGAAGAAAGGCTCGGGAAATGATTGAAAAAATAACCACAGCACTCGTTCTGCCACTGGCAAAACCTCAGCATTCACCTCATCCACTACCAGCTCCATGGTTTTCTGACTCCTGATCTCATGAATGCACTCCATAACTCATGGAAGTTACAGAATTGAGAAAAAGCAGCAAGTGCCCATGTGCCACAGGACAGGGAGGGGTGTTCGGACACAGACTTGAAAAAGAAAGAGGAGACAAAGATCTCAAAATAACCCCACCTGTGAATGCTTCTTCAACAGATATTTTAGATTGCTATCAGTTGGTTAAAAACCATCAAACCCTAAAAAACCCAGGCAAATTTCTTGAACAGCCACCCAGCTATGATTGATATGACAGGATAGGAGTAAAGTGTGATGAAGGATGGGCCACATGACCGARCTCTAATTTTAATCATATCAGTCCTCACCCTGCTGAAAGCCATCTTTTTAATTCCGTATTTTGTCACAATCTATCACTTAGCTCCTGCCTGCTTCTCATTTCTGAACAGCATCGCTTCAATAATTTGGATTTTTAACCCTTTGGTGCTATTTGTGAATGCACATAATGATATTGATCTCCCTTCAGACATTAATGAAGATATTAAAAAGTGAGCCTGGTGCTCATGGCTGCACATTTTGTTCCCCCACAGTGACAGTTACACCAATTTCTTTTGGCTCCTAACTCTGGAACCAGATTTATAAATTCAATTGATGAGCAGACAGCTGACCTGTTGCTTTCTGGTTTGTTTCTTCTGAGTTTTTTTTTTATTATTATTTTAAAGGAGACAGAGGCAGAGTAACTGTGAATAACTGCAGCTCTTGCTTTGAAACACCTCCAGCAGGGAGAGGGCCATAAATTCCATTTAGTGTCATTAGAATTAAACATCCCTGCGATGATTCTACCATCTTTTTCTTCATGTTTGGCTCTGCTGACTGAAGACTCCTCCAAACAGCTCCCCTGAGGGATGATGCAATTCCTGTGACCATGTTCCTGCTCCACCATCATCTCACTTTTTCTCTGAGGAATCAGAAGGAGCAGTGCAAAAAGGGACACTCCACAAAGGAACCCAGTTTCAAAAAGGTTTGTTGAAAGGTGCTATCAAAACAGATTAAATAATCTGCACTTTTTGTGCTAAAACACATTAAAAACCTTTTCTCTTTTCGAAATATATTTCTTTCTTCTCGCTCTTTTGGCAATTGTGTTTTGCTTTTACTTGATCTTTTGGCATCACGTTTCTGGTTTTGCTAGATTTTCTCCAACAAAGCCAAAGTGCTCCGCTCATTTTTATTACCATTAGTTGGTGAATCACTATTGCTGCGTCAGAAACGTTCAAGAACCAAGAGTAATTTAATGTACACAGACTCCACGAAACAAAAGCAATAAAAATATTACTACCCTGGAACACAGAGATAATATCACAGACAATCGTTCTTGGATTATAATGAAAAAGAATTAAAACTTGGGAAACATCCAACTCTTTTGGGTAAGAATTGGAGGCTCTTTAAAWAATTCATAGCTGGGACCTAAGCTAAATAATTGATGTAAAAGACTCAAATGAATGTTTTTTTAAAATGGCACAACTGGTGGAGATCCTGACTGCAGTGAGTGAGGACACAAACACAGATCTGCAGCACAATCAGACACAATTTAATGAGATCACTGCACTGGGGAAGAATGCACGTCCCCATTTCATGGCTGACCAATCTGCCCCCRTGTAAATAACAGGGAATCCCTGCCATGAGTGTGACAACAGCTCCTCTGAGTGCCCCCACGAGCAAAGTTATCAGTGAGTGTGGCTTCAGAGCTCCTTAATGAAGTGAAAGGTGTCAGATCAAAGATCCCATCACATCCAGCACTCAGGAGCTCCCAGGGACAAAGATGGAACAGCTTTTGGTGTTAATGAAATGTGGAGTTGGTAGAGAAGAACCCGAGGTGGAGGAACAGGGCTCAAAAATGGGAACTCGTGGAAGGCACAGAATGCTTGCAGAAGAAATTGCTGTTCTGGGTATTCTGTGCCATGGCCTCGCCACCCTCACAGGGAACAATTTCATCCTAATAGGGCAAAACACTCTGCAGAAAAATGACCTGAAAATTCTAGCCAGCTCGACGAGGTGTGCACAGAAAAGACTGAAAACACATCCAGACCTTACAGGAAAAAAACATTCACAATCCTAACAACATCCCAGGAATCTCCAAAAGTCACCAATCCTGAGGAACCCTGAAGTGTAACAGGAATGCTCAGGAACCAAGGTTACAATAAGGAATGCCCTAGATTAAAGCCAAGTTTTTTAAGCAACAGAAAATGAAAGACTTCAGTAAATCATGTATTCCTGAATACTGAAAAGCTGTCTACAAATCCCAATAAATATTTGAATGTTCACTGTGCCTGCAATGAGGAATTTCCCTCTTCTCCTTCCCACTCCAGGGCAGCAGGACCATGGGGAGGGCAATGCCAGAGGAATCCTGGATCTCCTTCCACCCATTTCTGCTTTATTTGTCCCTAAATATGAATAATTTCTTTTGCATTTCCTCACATTCACATTAACAGCAGCCCACAACGACGCAGAGCAATCCACACAGAAATCAACATTATTAACAAAGGAATGGGATCCTCCACTTGACAACAGAGTGACCTTCTCAAAATCTGGGCACTCAGATGTTCCATGGCTAAACTGCAAAATTCAGCTTCCCAYTGGATTTTTAAGCAAGCTTCACAGCATTGGTATGAAAAAAATTAAATTTAGAGAACAAACYTTTCTCTCATATTGTCCTAAATTTCAAGGTAACAAGATCTGGTAGAAAAATACCAAGTTTTTGCAAAAAAACAAGGTTCAAGGCTCATGCTGTAATTAAAATGGTTTTTTTCCCCAAACCCTCTTGGATAAAATCATCTTCATCAAAGTTCTGTGCACTGCAATAGGATCAAGATTCAAACTAAATCAGCTGAAACTGTTATTTTTGAGCTTTAAATGGAGTTTGCCTTCTAAGCTACTTTGAGTTTTGGATTTTGTGGCCAATTTCCACAGTTCTGCATTTGCAAGACAGCAGTGAAACAGAATAAGGAATGGAGATTTGAAGGTAATGCCAGGTATTTTCACATGCCTGTGAAAGACTTTTCAACAGAGATACTTTTTCCTGTTCCCCTCCTATCTTTTGTTCAACATGTGCTCTTCAGATTAGGGTAAAAATAGGGAAGTAGGTTAAAGAAAAAAAAATACAATAGCAGTTAATATAGCTTCAAATTAGCAATTTTTTTTGAAAAATAGGAAAAAAATCTAGCAAATTAAAGAAAACCAGTATTTCTGACAGAAATGACAATTCAAGGCTATTAAAGATACTGCCCTGTGAAGGATTATTTGTAACTTTAATTTGAGGATGTAAAGAAGTTAACTTTTCTTTTGCTATACTACACATGTAAAAAAAGATCAAAGAAAGAAAAGAATTGAGATTCAAATTCCATTTTTAAGCAAAAATGACAATGTCTTCCTGAGTTAAAATTAATCCTTTAATGATGAATTTCAAAGGTTTAAATACTTTCTGTGACCTTGGCTTTAAATAATTATGCCAAGCAGAGCTTTCCTTACATTCAGAAAAGATTCTGAATTGTTGATCACAGCCATTTTAATGGCTTCAGGCTGGCTGATTTCCAGCATAATCCCCCGAATGCTCTTTAAAATCACAGASCAAGAACCTGACGCAGGTAAATGAAATGTCACTTGCACAAAGGCTGCTCCAACATTCTCTGCAGATTGTTAATTTGTGCCACTGCACATCCCCTYGCAAGAAAATTGGTGATTTAGTGCCTTAATGCAATGTAGGAAAGATATTTCAACAACGAGCTGCTTACACACACACAGAGTCTACCAGAAATGTTAAGCAGGGTTTTTTTTTTTTTTTTAGTTTAGTTTTTGAAATACAACTTGCATGTTTTAGCTCCCTAAAAGGGGGAAATACTTCAATTCAAGGCGTGGGTCCGAGGACAAGCACAGACGTGGGACCCTGTGGAACAGAACGGGAGGAAAGCCTTGATGAAYGTGAAAAATGTTCATTTCTATTTTCAAATCTTACCCAGAGTCCATTCTCAGGGGTGTACACAGGCAGAATCAGACCATCATGAGCAACCAGCCACAATTTCCTTTGCATTTTGAGCTTGAGTTTTTTCCTCTTTAAGAGCTCGCCCTCTTTTTGAGGCAGGATAAGCCTGGCTTAGGCACAWCCACCCTTTCTACTCTCTGTTCCAGCAAAGGAAGACCAGCCTGCTCCTGGCTGAATTTACCTGGGCAATTCCTGTGTTTTTAAAGTCCCGTGGCTCCTGAGCACCTCAYTGGCACCTTCCACCCCTGCTGGAGGTGCTGCCCAGCCCCAGGGTGTCCAGAGCCAAGCTTTTCACCCCAGAACATCCCACACTCATGTTGGGACTCTGCCATCCCATGGTKTACATCAGTTTTTTCAACCCAAACATTTTTCCTCAGGGAAGCTTTGCTCAGCTGATTTTTGGGGTGATTGCTCCCCTTTTGCTGGAGCTGCTTTTGGCAATCTCTTACCTTGTCCAAGGCTGCCTCTGTCTCTGCCTGGTGCCTCTTTTTCAGCTCTAACATGGCATTTTCCATCTCCATCTTCAGACTGCTCAGTGCCACCTCCTTGTCCCGAACTGCTGCCTTCATCTCCTCGTTCTTCTGGAGGCTCAGGTTCAGCAGTTGTTGGTCCCTCAGGGAGTTGGCCTGGATCAGTTCTTCCCTCAGAATGCGGATTTGGTCCTCCAGATCAGAGATCATCTGAGAGGAAGAATGGAAACAGTGATAAAACCCAAATTCACGACAAAAAACCCTTTTGGTTTGCTCTGCCAGGCTGGGGCAGGAGCAGGCTCAAAGGATGCTCTGTCTCTTTTCCTGGCCTCTTTGTGCACACAGATAAATGCAGTTCCTCCTGCCCAAAGCATTGGTAAAATGCACGTTTTCAGAGGAGAAATTTAATTTGTGGCATACAATCAATCAAATGCAAAAATCTTATCTTTCTGGAGGAGAAATATAGTTTGTGGCAATCAATCAAATCCAAAAATCTCATCTTTTTAAGGAGAAATTTAGTTTGTGGCATACAATCAATCAAATCCAAAAATCTCATCTTTTTAAGGAGAAATTTAGTTTGTGGCATACAATCACTAGATATCCTATCCATGCTTTCTTTTTTCATCCTTAAGAAATGTCCTGGTGCCTTCTAATGAGGTTCCAGGGCATCATCAATCATTGATCAATCACTGGCAGCCCCCAAAGGGAGGGAGCAAAGGGACAAGGGTAGAACTGTGTTAATAATATTTATACAGAATTCACATTTTAMAACAGGAGCAGGCACACACATTACTACAGATTACTCTCTCATACAACTGTCCCTGGTTACTTTTCTAACTCCATTTCTTCTGCAGGTTCTTCACTGAAGTACAGAAACATCAAATTTGGGAGATAAAGCATTGTCTTTACAGGTGAGGTATGACACTGGAAGCACATGGATCTCTTCATTCATAAATATAATTCTGAGAATGAGCACTTTCACTACAAAATTCACACATGATTTCCCCCCTWCTCCTCCCTTTGCAGTTGCCTGGATTCTTTCACAGAGGATGTGATAATACTGAGACCAAAAAAATTCATGTTCTACCCAACAAATGCAGGTGATTCAGCTCAAGCTTATTAAACATTTCATAAGAAAATCTGAGGAAAAGCAGTGTATATATAAAGCTCCTACTGTCCTGATTCTGGAGCTCTGAACTGGTCTTTCTCTCCAACTGCTATTTTTCTTCTTCAGACATTTTTAATACACTGTCCTGTTCTCAGCTAAACCATCTATTTGCAGCCTCTGAGAACCACATGACAACAAAACTTYGAAAAAGAAACATTTGTTTCCGACCAAAGTTGGGATTTGAGTGACTATCAGAYCTATTGCCTCGCACATTAATCTCCCAAGACAGATTCCTATAAATACTGTGATCTAAGGGAGGAAAAAAAAAAAATCAAGGCTTGAAAGTTTGCCTGTTTTCCAAGCTGTTTGAACTATAGGGTGTAATAAAAGACATCATCTCCCTTCGAACTTTCAGCTTGTCCTTCAGCTGTAATAATGGATTAAATAATGGATTAAATAATAGTAACCATCTCAGAAACTTGTTTTGCTTCCATGCTTTCCTAATTACCYGCTGGCTTTAGTCCCTGCTGTGTCAAAGGTAAGGCTGTGGGGAAGGATTGAGCACAAAATTTGTGTACAGAGCTCTGCACAGGCCACGTATTTCAGCGTTATCAGCATCATCTCAAACATGTGGTTCATATACTGTAATCTGCACTAGATCCTTTCCTTCCTTCCCTGAGCTTTTCCTCTGCACATGTTTAATTTCTCACCGAAATCYGTACACAGACTAAAAATGGAAAGCGCGTCCCAGGGTATAATTAGAATCCAAAATGGACTTGTGTAATTCTTTTGGAAAATGATTTCATCTCCAGATCACAGGGACATGACAGCCTGCCTGGCTTCTCCTGAACCAAAGCAGCACTGACTCCAYGGAGATAAGGATTGCTGATGGGTGATATGGTCTGAGCTCCAAACAGACACAATTTGGGGTTTTTAACAGCTGCCCCAGTGCAAGTCCTGCCTGGAATAGTCACAATTATCTTTTAATCTGTGAGAGTTCTTTCTGAAAGCTCATTCCCCTACTTTCCCACATTTTTTTCACCCCTCTTTCTATTTTAAAATAAAATGCTTCCTTTAACTACACCCCCAATGACCAWACATAAGTGAAACTAAAATACTACAATGCTTAGAAGTTCCCTAAAAAGTTTGTTAAAATATTTAGGACAAGAAATCAGACTTAAGTTTTCATAACACAGGGAAAACTCATTCATAAATGACATTACAAGCCAAAATAAAGACTGGGCGAATTCCTGACTCAACTGTTACACCCTTTAGGCTTTATTTAATTCTTTATTCAATGGTTCTTATACAATAACATTAGAAAAGGAAACAGAATCCAGTGTTTTCTGTAAGGAGACAGTAACAGCTCCTGGCCTTGTGAGCAAAACTGGGGACAGTGAGAGTGAGCTGAATGTTATAGGTAAAGTWACGGGAATTAATATGCAAAGGAGCATTAATGTTGGACCTAATAGATGGCAAAAGCAGATTTGGTTCTATTAGGGAAGAAGAAAGGCTCTGAAGACGGGGTGATGGCAGCGMAACTAATATGATTAAAGGAGTCCCTTTGGAGCAACTTCACTGCGAGTAAGATGATGTTAAGAGACATCTAATCTCTCCAAAGTGACTGGAAAAAGCTTATATTGGGGATCACAGACACAGTTCTTGTCAATTACTTTCAAATAAGTCCAGTTCTCACAGGCAGATTAGTTTTTCCCATAAACAAAGTCAGTGGCAGAAGCAGCTTACGCCCGAACCGCTCGGCGCCTGAGACAAGTTGGTGTGACACGGATATCTCCCAAGTGCTGCAGGAAATGAATCCCCAACTTTCCAGCACTAAGACTCTGCTAGTCCACATGCCAGGTTTAATAAACTATTATTAGACTTAAATGTAGGCAAATTAGGGGAAAAGGGAAAAAAAAAAAGCCCCAAGATGACTTAATTCTCAGTTGCGAAAAATCCGTGAAATGTAAAACTTATGAGCAACTGTCTTTCCTTAACGATTCTGTGGGAAAATAAAGGCTGAAGTTACAAAATCTCACTCCTCAGGCTGCAAATCCGAGGGCAGGATGGTTTCTTTGCRACACCAAATCCCCTTTCTCAGTCCTGATTTTTCAAATTCTCCTCTGGCTGCCCAAATCTCCATTTGGGAATGGTTTTGCATGGTCAGAACAACAACTCAAGCACAAGAGAAAAACACCCCTTAAACACCCCATCTGAGCAAATTATTATTGTGCTAAAAGAGGAATGAACAGAAGAAATAAAGACTCACAGTATGCAATAGGGCCACAATGTTCCTGCCACTTGCTGCCTTTTCTGGATCAAAGTGTCGCAGTCTCTATTTCGGTTGTGTGGGTACGAGCACACGAAATGAGAGAGATCYGTGTCTATTTTAGAAAGGATGCCCAAGTTCGTAGCAATTCCCARGATGGCCCCAAACAAGGAAGCATTTTATAAAATGACTTTTAATCCACACACAGGACAACAAATAGAAAGACAACACCGGTTTATAGCACCCCAAATGGAGCAAAAATACACAAACTGACAGAGCAGAGAYTTCATCTAAGTTTATATGACACACTTGTATGCCCCTTAGATGAAGAAACTGCTGGCCAAGGTGGTGATTTCTATTTCTGTTTCAAAGAAATAACTTTGAATTCTAACTAAGAATATCTGTGCTGAAATAGTGTCATAAAAAGGGTGGGTCATAAGCCCACAGCAATTTGCCTGTAGGGAAAAAATAGACTTGAAAGAAAAAGAAGAAGGTTGGTCACTCACTTTGGCCTATTTAAAATGCCAATAAATGCCCTGCGTGTTATTTGGAAGGAAAACATGTGCTCTCAATTTTAAAAAGTAAATTGCATAAGAAAATATAAAGTTGGCAAAAAGCTTAAATTAAAATCTGTTGCTGATGTCTGAAACTCTGCTCCAGTAACAGAGATGAGAAATGCAACAAACGACTACAGTCTAATTAAAACCAATAATAACACAAATTCCCTTGATTTTCCAGGAGCTCCTGCTTCACCCCATGGAGCATTTCCTTGGATGAGTTTCTGAGAGGTTGGAGTGTGATGGGATCTCCACGTTCACAGAGATGGAATCCACAGAGCTCATTGCTCCCTCCTCACAGGGCATCACACACCAAACCACGTTCACCCATCAGCTGCAGCATCCAGGGCATTCCAGAGCCTCAAAAACAAGACAGTGGGGAGTTCAGATGAAATGCACCCCAAATTTACTGCCCAGGGCTCAGATGTGGAGGCACTGAGGTGCTGCTGCAGATTGACAGTGAGTGATTGAGATCCCTCAGCAGATGAAGCTGCAATAACCCTCAATAACAACCTCAATAACCCTTGACAACAACCTCAATAACCCTCAATAACAACCTCAAAAACCCTCGATAGCAACCTCAATAACCCTCGATAGCAACCTCAACAACCCTCACTGCTCTGCCCTGCTGGAGCACTCAGAACTCTGCTGGAACAGAGCAGCACTGCTCAACACCCCTGAGCTCCTCAAGGGGCTCCTGACAACCCTTCAAACTCAGTTTCAGGAATTTTCTACACTTGGCTCCAGTCAGAGATGACTGCACAGGGCTCAATTTGCTGTGTTCATGTAACATTTAAAAAAAAAAAAAACCTATAACAAACAGCCCCAGAACCTCTGAGCAGCAGCATGGATCGGGCTGGAGGATCCCAAAGATCCTTTCTAGGACAACAACCTCAAATATCAGCCTGTAAGCAACAGCCCTACTGGATCCACATTTCTACTGGACCCACAGACATTCAGCTGCTGCCTCAGTGTGCCAAAGCCTTCTCAGCATTTCCTCCTCTGGAGAACACTAAAATGAGCAGAGTGTGCWGTGAAACCATCAGCTGGACCCCTCTAAAAGGGACATTGGTCTCTCTGTGTCACTGCTGTGGGGTGATAGTGATGGATGAATACCCAGAACATTTGTTACTGGGCACGAGGTTATTTTTGAAAGCGAACTGTCCAGTCAAGGGAAGGGCAGTAAGGAGTAAAAACAAATCTCACTTTGAGGATGAAGGATTGAAGGGAAAAGGAGGAATGAAGCAGAAATACCCAGTGATTCGGGGTGACAATG